TACACCTTATAGTCATCCGCGACTCAACCGAGCTCTCATCTCGGCAATTATGAACAGGACACTAAAGTACAATATTGCATTCAGACACATCGCCTTGCCACGTTCATCTGTACGGTATGCACTGCCACGCAGTGGTAGTATCTATGTAAACAGCAACTTATTCGTCGCACGTAGTTCCCACTCAATACTGTGGTTTAAATTGTGAGCGCCAATTAGTGCAATATACGCTATAAGAGCTGATGGTACATATAGCATGGTTTTGCGTGTGCCCACGTGAGCGAGTGTACGTGCCATCTACGGTGATGCGTATGCGGATAGGAACCACCAAATTGCAGCGGTGCACAGTTGATTCCATGTTCTAATTATTTATGAAGCGCGCTACGCTCTGTAGGTGCGTCAACACCATAGTCAGCTTACCGTATGTGCGGCCCCAAGCCTCGCACCGTGAGCCAGTATACCAAAACAAAAATAGGTAGGAAAATGGGGGCATAAAGGGTATATTTACCATTACTTGCTCTTCTGCTGCTTCTTTTGCTCGATGTACTTGGCGTTTCGGGCGGTCAGCTTGCGAGGGCTGCTGCGCCTCTTTTTCTTCTTGGGGTACCAGTCTCTCCTTCTTGACGTTTGACAGGCTTCCCTGGCGGCGGACTTCGGCCGACTCAGGTGGTGGGGGCTTTTCCTCCCAGAACTTAACCGCTTTTGGGCCGTTCTCGCAGGCAATACAGCGCCGCACGATGTCCCGCCCGCTGATTGTACAGAATGCGTAGCCGTACTGCAGCTTCCCGCAACCGACGCAGCGCGCCCGGGCATCCGTCGCAGACCGCTGCGGGTTCAGCAGAAGCGGGTCAATCTTCGCCTCGCATTGCTTGCACGTAGGGCCCACAACTGTGAGTAAGTTAGCAAAATATATTGCTCTAACCAATTTCTTGCATCCAAATATTAGCCAATAGCACGGTAATAAAAGGCTAGTATTTATTAGTAAGCAAAATAGTAAAATGTTTTATATTATTAATATTTGGCTTATCTTTAATATATTAATATCAGATTTCCAAACAAAAACATACTTTACATGCAATATAAATTGACTAAAAGACTATTATTGTGCGCGCATGCATTCGTCGGGTACGGTGCACGGGAGCAGATACGGCAATGACCGTGCAGCCGCGTGGCAGTGGTGAGTGCCAGGTCAAGTAAAAAGATTCGCAAAGTCCCTACAAAAAGCGCTGGTTGTGAAGTCTACTTAGATTTAAAAAAATACTATCACTACTTTAGAAAGTGTGTGGAAAAAAGCATCGCCGAGCTCTTACAAATGCGGCCTGTGAAGCTTCCGTTAATTAAATTAATACTATTAATATCGTCTTTACTTTGAAAAGTGTGTGGAAAATAACATCCCAGAGCTCTTACAAAATACTGGTCTGTGAAGTCTACATTAATAATGATAAATACCTCTATTTGAGAAGTGTGCAGAGCTCTTACAAAATAAAGTGGTTAGTGTGCCCGATTTGCAGTACATACGACAGGTTTTGCGCAATAATCAAGTATCTGCGCACTCGCCTAGCTGTTTGCAACCAATCAATGCGTTTCGTGCTCGGCAGAAATGTATACCTTACGACCAATCGCGAGAGCGAGAGGCAGTCTGATCGTGCGACAGATCCAGTCAGTGTCGCAGGT